AGAGTCTCGTGGACAGAAGAAGGTTTGCTTTGCAGATGGCAAACCCAGAGTCACAGGTCAGATTCAGGTTGAACGTGTTTGGAACGGTTCAGAAAAACCAGTCAAGGGCATTCATAGCAGTGGGAGCAAGGGCTGTGCTTCAGCTAGAATACCCAGAACACAGTGGGTTAAGAGAACCAGTATTCCATCTGTAAAAGTCTCTCCAGGTTATCTGCTTCACATGGAGAGTGTCGTTTGTTCTCAGGATGTTCCAGGATCGGGCAGTTCATTTCAGTGGGAGCCGATGGAGACAGAGAACAGTTCAGTGGCAGACTTAGCCATGACTGATGTATTGGAGCTAACGGAAGCTTCAACTAGCCTTCAGGTAAATTGAAGAGAAGGCCAGGGTAACTAGGAAGGAGTCAAGATCAAAAGTTTTTACAGAAATACAGATGCACAGTTGAAGCACATGTGAAGATTGTTCCGTGGCTTCAAGTGGGAGATTGTTGAGTGTGAATCCACGGAGGTTGTTGAGTGTGAATCCACAGAAAAGTTGGTCAAAAATGGCAGGAAACCAGGAACCATGTGTGAAGCCACAACTGGTCAAAAATGGCAGGAAACCAGGAACCATGTGTGTTTCCATCTCTATATAAGAGATTCATCTGTATTTGTAAAACTTGTATCTAGTGTAACACAGAAAGAGTGCAGATTAGCATCAAGAAATGTAAATTCCTAGTTACCGGTGGACGTAGGTCAGAGAAGGACCGAACCACGTTAAATCCCTCATGTTCATCCTTGTGTTCTTGTTTTTCGTGAGCTGTGTGTGTGTTTAGAGTCGTGTGTTAAGTGTCTCGATCCTAACATATGGGTTCAGACATGGTCCTAAATCTCCAATATTTATCACGTATAGCGTTGTCATATCTCCTCGGCCCCTTTATCTGCCACACATAGCCCTGATGATCTTAGGACCCTCTATTTGCGATGTTTTATAGGATCATATGCCTTCTCAACGATGTTTTATAGGATCATATGCCTTCTCAAGGCAAACGAACATTGTATGAAGCTCCAACTTCTTTCTCTATATTTCGGTTTACCATTTTTTTTATATTTCCTCATCACGCGTCTAAATCACCTTACTTGTCCTCCTACACATGAAATTTAACCGGTTCTCTATAAAGGCTATTTAATTTCTTGACCTTGCCTCCCAACGATTTCCAGAAGTTTCATAATATGACACTTTAGACTTCTATAGTTTTCGCAATCGTGTAACTTCCGCGATCTTTTTACGGAAAGAAAATAAGTTATTACAATGATAATGTTGTTATCTATTCAAATTCAACATTAGTTAAAAAAAATAAAAAATAAAATAAAACAAAACAAAAAAACACATGCTAGTAAAATCGATTCAACAAGTCACCATTTTACATCTCTATATAGGATGATTAGGATCTGAATTCAATAGGCAAAAAAACTCCATTGATCCTTTGAAAAATGACACAAAGTCGCATTCTTAACAAATCTTACATTCTACAACACCACATCTTAGAACGAGGAAGCAAGGTTCATCGTGCATATTTGCTCCCAATAACTCTAAGGTGTACAATCTTCACAAATCACAACATATGAACATCGTGAAAAAAATAAAGTTTATCTTCCAATGATCACCAAGTATCAAAACCCATATCAAAGCTTAAGATCGAGATCTAATTAACATAACATATGGTAGGAAGATCAAACAAGTTCCACAGAGACAAATCTCCATCGATAAAGTCATCAGAAGACGAAACCAAACACATTTCTTCTACACCATTTTTACTTTCTTCATTCACTTGATGAGCCATTCTATGCATTTTCGACCTTTCTCTACCCTTTGCACCTCCTCCCTGCCCACCCTTTCTTTGTAAACACTCTGGAATCCCATGGAAAGCATAAAGAGAAGCCGAAAACTTACGTTCATATTTCATCCTTTTCATCGCTTCACTTATCGTCATCGGCTCTTCTTCCTCATCATAACTTTGCTCCGCCACCATTTCTTGAGCCATATCAAATGGAGAAAAATTGCAACCCGTTCCAATTTCATCAATAAACCTAAAATCCACCCCTTCTTCTTCTTCTTCTTCTTCTTCTTCTTCTTCTTCCACCTCCCTTTCGCCTCCACCATTTGTATCTCCACAAGAATCCACATCAACAGGCATACACGATTCAAAGCTCACGTTGCTACCAACATCACTACCCATCATATCGTATACAGGGAGACACCCGTTTACATCGTTTAAAAAGTCGGTAAAATACGTATCTAAGAACTCTGCCTCCACCTCCGGTTGCTTCACGTCATCATGTCGATTCACCAAAGTAGATGGTGGTCGAGGGTTGTTTCGGGCTTCGAGCCTATGAAGAAGAAGATTTGTGATTTTTGATGGGAGTGCGGGTGTGGTGGAGAAGGATTGAGAAGAAGGCCAGAAGTTGGTTCGGGTGTTGGATCCACGTAACAAGCAAGCGGCTTCATCATAGGCTCGAGCCGCTTCCTCGGCTGTATCAAAGGTCCCTAACCATACTCTGATTTTTTGTATGGTGTCTTTTATTTCTGCAACCCATCTACCCGATGGTCTTTGCCTCACCCCAACAAACTTCTTCCGGGCTTTCTGTGGCCCACCAAAAGCCATGGTTTGTTCTTGATTGATTTCTTGCTTTCTCTTCCTAGCCATATTTGTACTCTTGAGAGACTCGAAAGATGTTTGATTGGTTAGTGGTTGGTGATATACTGATTACTGATATAGTGATATGGATCTCTTAAATCAAGATATGTGTATATATAGATTAGACAAGATTGAAGAGGTCACATCTGATTGTTTATTCTAATATTTGTGTCTAAAAGTTAACTTTTGGACGTTTCTTCCTCTTTGACTAGTATTGTTTATCATCAAAGATGCCTCAGTTATTTGGGTAGAGTCAAAGTGCATTACAACTTGTAATCTGTGCAGAGATATGTGTAGGTGTGTATCACACATTGGAATATTATTGAGTAGGATATGTCAGCATTGATAAATAATCTAAGATTGTTTTTAAAGTCCGGGGGACAATATGAAGTTTGTATAAACTAATGATGACATCCGCATTACTTTTAATACTACATATTGGCATAGAATATATATAAAGTAATATATGTTATACTATATACTACTCCATCTATTCTATTTCATATGAAATAGGTAAATTTGGGTTATAATTATTTGCTAATAGGTTATAAAATTAAACATTTTTAATAATAGTTTGGAACCATGTTTAATATAAATTAAATGTTACAAAAAAAATGAAATAAAAAAACCAATTGGTTGATCCAACCACTTAACCATGGAACTTATAAATGATGTGACTATACTTTGAGGAGACTGCCACGTGGAATGACGGGTTAAGTTAATGGCATAATTAAATTGGGGTTAAGATAATAATATTATGAAGGGGTTTCGTTTTGTTGTTTTTTTTTTTTTTGAAAACAACTGGGAAAATTACAAGTCAAAGGCCATTCTAATCCCTCCAAGTGGCATCCTATCAATAGAACAGTGGTTATCCGGAGCATAACTATAGTTAATACTTGTAATAATACTACACACACAGCTGCATATTCATTATTTAACATTTACGAAATTACTTCAAAAAAGTGGGATTGTTGTGCTTTGCAGCGGGTTTATTAATCATATATTTTCACACCATTAATGTAATGCCACTTACATAAGGTTAATTTATGTAATTTTTGTGAAGCATGGGACCATGTCTTTAAATTTGCTATTAGGTATGGAGCAATTCTGTAATTTTGTAAACACAGGAACCATTTATGTTATTTCGTAATTAGGTAGCGATCATTTATGTAATTTTGTGAAACATGGGACCATTTCTGTAATTTTGATATTATGTAAGGCCATTTTTGTAAATTTTTTAAATTTTGAGACCGTGTTTGTACCTTTATGAAATAGATCAACAATTTATGTAGATTCGCTATTAGGCAGGGACCATTTGTATAACTTTACGAAAGACAAGGGTTATTTATGTAAATTCCCTATTAGGCAGGGACCATTTCTATGAGTTTAAGAAACAAAAAGACCAATTTTGTAAAAAAAAATAGCAGGCCCATTTCTGTAAATTTGCACGCACTCCTAAATTTGTTTGTAAAAAAATGCTATTAGACATGGACTATTTATGTAATTTTGTAGAACAAAGGGACCACTTCTATAATTTTGCCTAAGTGGGGACCATTTATGTAGTTAGTTTTGTAAAAACACAGAGACCATTTATAAATTTGCTATTATGAAGGGACCATCTGTGTCGGTAATTTTGTGAAATGTAGGGACTGCTATAAAGGAGGGACCATTTTGTAATTTTGTAAAACACAGGTTCCAATTCTATAAATTTGCTTACACAGGGACCAACTCTGAAAAATCTCAATGAGACAGGGACTATTTATGTAATTTTGTAAAACATAGGGACCATTTCTATAATTTTTGCTAAGCGGGGATCATTTATGTAATTTTCTAAAAACACATGTACCATTTATAAATTCTCTATTACGTAATTTTTTTGAAACGTAGGGACTATTTATCTAATGTTATTATAAAGGAGGAACCATTTTTGTAATTTTGTAAAACACCAGTTCCAATTCTATAAATTTGCTTACATAGAGACCATTTCTTGTAATTTTGTAGAAATGCAGGGACCAATTCTAAAAATTCTCTATCGGAACAGGGACAATTTATGGAATTTCGTGAAACATAAGGATCATTTCAGAAACTTTACAATAAAGCAGGGACCAATTGTGAAAATATGCACGACTCCCTAAATGTACCTGCCATTTAGTTATATTTGATTATTCATAATGTGAAACGACAGATTTATATATACAAGATTTAGGTCCATGAGAGAATTTTCACTTACCTTTTGAAGATCTGAAACAAGTCCAATGTAAGGCATAACTTTCACTGCACAACGTACAACTCACTTGATCATATATATTTTCATGCAATCACAAAAGCTGTTGAAAATGAATTTTCAAAAAGAAATAAATTATTATTAAACAAATGAATTAAGGTGCACAAAATCTACACACTGTTCAATCATCACACTCATGATTCAGAAGCAAGAAGTGGGGCATTGTGGCTGTCTGTTCTTCTAGAAAATTGGATTGGCTGCAATGCTGGATCTTTATATGCAGTGATTAGTTTCTCATGGAAATCAGACTTTCCAGGGGCATTTTCGTCACGTCTGTCTTTCTTTATCATCAACTGTAGCACGAGTAATATTTTAGCTACACATTTAGAATTTGATATATGATGGATGGTTGTTGATGTTCATAGAATCTTAGTGAAGGGAAATTATGTAACTAGGGTTACATGTCAGAAGTAGCAACGTGCTTTCTTTGATTTTTTTTTTTATTATTTTATTATTTCATTTCTTTCTATTACAGCATTATACTTTGAAAAATCTATCGGTTATGACAATGTCATCTAAATACAAAGCAAATTTCACTGCCATAATTTGGTAGATTTGTTAAAGTATAATGTGTTGATAAGAAAATAAAAATTGCCAACTTTTTTCATTCGTTTTTCGTTTTTCTTTTTTTGTATTTTATTAGTTACTTAAAAAAATGTAATCGCATATGAAAATAAAATTTATACATTTAAAAATAAAAAATATAAATTTACGACCGAACAAGTAATTTTTTTTTATAATTTAATGTAAAATAGATATATAAAAATTAGAAACTGCTTAACATTAAAATATAAAACATTATGTTTAAATTTTATAAAAATGAAAATATGTAAAATTAAAAATACAGTAACACTTAGAAATATATAATTTTCTAACTTACAAATTTCATGTTAATTATATAAATATGAATTTATTAATATTTACTGTATATTATTGTTATATTTTTCCACTATATATTATTATTTAGTCATCATTTAAATTTATTAGGTTGGAGCTGATGTGGCACAAAAAGTCTTAAAAATCCTAGCGAAAAGACTTTGCTATTGTGGAGGTATATTAAGGTTTTTGTTTTCATTTTTTTTTTTTTTGACATACCTCAGCAGGATAGCCCTTGAAAACAGGTAGAAACCGCTTTCTGCAGTAGCTGTTGAAGAGAAGAGTGATGATTGGAAGTGGAATAGTCAAACTGGAAGCCAATGGAAGCTTTTTGAGACCGAATATTCCCACAACAATCAATTGCATCAATACTAATGAAAAGATTGTAGAATTGTGCACAATTGGCCAAAACTCCCCACCAGTCTCAAATTTTGGTGAATAAACATTCAGCAACTATCAAAAAAAAAAAAAAAAAAAAACAAAAAAAGAATCAGTATCGTGTCTATTATTTGTCTAAACGATCTGCAACATATTCAACATTAATGTAATTAGACATGTAAAAAAAAATGAAGTCTAATTTATAGTTTATAAAGTTTGGTTAAAAAAATGAAAAAGACACCCAATGGCAAGTAGACATGTGGCGTGACCTTTTGTGAATCAAGATCGTCTGTGTGATATTCATGAAAGGTTGCATACTTTTTTCATTATTCTTAGAAAATTACTTGTCTTTGTTGGTGAACCATAGGGACCAAAACTGTAATTTAGTCTGCTTGTAAAAATTTTAAAACTTGGACGTAAAGTGCAGACTTCAAAATAGTGGAAACCACAAGGATAAAAACTATAACTTACTCTTCTTGTAAAAATTTAAAACTTGGACTAAAGTGCAAGATATCACCAACTACAGGGGCCAAAAGTTATTGACTCATTTCTAGCAAATTAAAAACTACAAGGACCAAAAGCATAATTCACTCAAATTCAAAAATACGTGAACTAAAAATGTAATTTATTCATTTCTTGCAAATAGTTAAAAAATTATAGGGACCAAAAATGTAATTTACTCATTTCCTGCAAAACAATTAAAAGCTACAGGGAGCAAAAGCGTAATTAACTCAAACTAAAAAATACAGGGACCAAAAATACAATTTACTCATCTATTGCAAATAATTAACCACTACAAGGACCAAAAATGTAATTTACTCATTTCCTGCAAATAATTAAAAGCTACATGGACCAAAGGTGAAAAACTACAGGGACCAAAAATGTAATTTACTCATTTCCTGCAAAAAATTAAAAGCTCCAGGGACCAAAAGTGTAATTAAATCAAACTAAAAACTATAGGGACCAAAAATACAATTTACTCATCTACTGCAAATAATTAAAAACTACAGGGACCAAAAATGAATTTACTCATTTCCTGCAAATAATTAAAAGCTACAGGGACCAAAAGTGTAATTAAATTAAACTAAAAACTACAGGGACCAAAAATACAATTTACTCATCTACTGCATATAATTAAGAACTACAGTGACCAAAAATGTAATTTACTCATTTCCTGCAAATAACTAAAAGCTACAGAGACCAAAAGTGTAATTAACTCAAACTAAAAACTACATGGACCAAAAATACAATTTACTCATCTACTGCAAATGATTAAAAACTAGAGGGACCAAAAGTGTAATTCACTAAAAGTAGACCAAAAATGTAATTTACTCATTTCCTGACAATTAAAAGATAGTAATAACAAAATATATGAATCCATCTAACCTGGTGACGATAAACTATGTATCCCTGACAGAAGTAAACCAGTAGAAAAGGCAGAATCAAGGGTGAGAGGACAAAGTATGTAATGCCAAAAAGTCCAAATAACAGAATACTTGGGATCACACTGCTGTAAGAAAGTGAAGGCACTTCAAATTCTTCACCACTTTTAGTTGAAAATATTCTTCTTGTGTAACTGTAAATCAGGGGCATCAACCGTAAAAGTTCTGAAGATGTATTAGTCCACCCAGATGTCACTACATATGTTATGAAGAATGTAGCCTGTAATAAACATGTTCAAATATTAGTATCACCTCTTTCAATAAATAAATAGCTAAAACATTTTTGTTGTTGTTTTTTTTTACCTGTACTGGAACAGCAACAGCTAATATATTTGGTATTTCCTTAGGTTCAAGAAAGATATTAACCCGATATAAAACCGATCCTGATAAAGCATTTGCAAAAAATACATTCCATATGGTAAACCAGAGCACTTTATTACATGCACTTTTCTCTATTTGACTTCTTGCAACATAGCCTTGAATAGAGGATAATATTATCATGACAGGTGGCACATACTGTAAAAACGTCTTGAGTATCAAACTAGGAAGATACCCTGTGATGACTTGACTTACAAACGTTCTGCATGCAAACAGGTTAAACACCATAGATAAGTTAGATATGTAATTTCATAATATAGTGAAATGAGTAGATTATATTTACATGTTTAAAATGCTTGTGAGAAAAGGGAACCAAGTCTCCAACTGATTCAAATTTGTGAGACCCTGGACTATGAGAACAGGAATGAAGAACAAAATGGTAAGAACAACACAGGCGATAACCACAACCACATTTCCAATCCATCTGCTTAAGAAAGATGCAGAAAAGAAAGGCCAGTATGTGTCACGGGGCTCTGGGGCCCGCTCAGTAAGCCACTCTGTAGGCTTTTGTCCTTGTTGGATTTGTAAAACTACTGCAGCACCAATTCGTGATTTGAAAGATACAAATGCAGCAGGAAGTTCCTACAAATTGAAAAAAAAAAATTATCAACCAATTAGAAATTTAGCCAAACATACAAATACTAGATTTTTTGTAGCTTATTACTATTTGCTTTTTTTATTGAAGACTTAAAACCATTGGAGTACATATAGCTTATTTGCTTATATATTGAGTGGTCAATATACTTTTATGATTGGTATATCTAACCCCTTATTCATTAGTAATATTTCATTTTACATTCTTAATTATATTTTAGTTTTAACTATTTGTGAATTCTTTACTAAGTAATTATTTCTATTAGTGACAATTCATTTGTGAAATATAAATTTTATATCGAGTACATAACATTTTCAATCCTTTTTTTTTATTTTTATAACTATGATTGTATTCGTATTTTTGTTTGTTTGTGACATTTTAGATATAATATATGTTTAAAAACTGACTAATTAAATAAAGAGATTTTTTAGAACATTTTAGATAGATGAGGATAGATTAGTTGAATTTCAAAAAAATAAAAAAACTACTGGAAAAGGTTAACCATTGGAAAAATCATTTAATTAGAGGTTAAAGTTAATGGAATGATGAGTTGGCAATTTTTTTTAAGTCATAACATAACTTAACCATTGGAGATGCTCTAAAGCAAAGCAAAAAGCAGATACTAACAATAAAGCAGAAAGCAGATACTAGCAATAAAGTAGAAAGCAGATACTAACAATAAAGCAGAAAGCAGATACTAGCAATAAAGCAGAAAGCAGATACTAGCAATAAAACAGGTTTCAAATACTAGCACAAAGGAGAAGGAAAATACTAACTTTTAACATGAGGGAACATATATAATAAGCTTACCTTTCCATGAAGCAAAGATTGTTGCGTTCTTGTTTTTTCTTCTATATCATCTAACTTCTTCTCATAATACTCAACAAGATCAACCTTGGGCCTACAAAGCCAAAAAAAGCCAACACGCCCAAACCTTTGAGAACTCTGCTTTGTGGACTTCAAATAAGCAATCCTTTTATATAGCTTATCACCTTCATGCTAGAATGACATTACAACATGAATAGGAATCAGATGAATTAAATGCATCATGTAAAGCTTTAAAAGTTGACTTACAATTAACTTCCAAATCTTCGAAGTGTGAAACACCATATAGTGTGATAGATATGTTGAAGGATAAAACTCTGAGAAAAATTTCTCAACAGTTTCACTTAAGGTGTCTGTAGGTGACTTTGGAATACCTCTAACCAATACTGTAAATTCATTGGGTTTAGGCTCGGATGAGGAGTAGAATGCAAGCCTTTTCAAAGAGATATAATTATACTCCTGCACATCATAATAAATAATTCATTGGATGAAAGGAAATTGATGTAGTGTTTGGTATGCGGGAATCAGGAATGGAATGGAATTGTTCATTCCATTGAAATGAAAGAAATTTGATCGTTTTGCTAGATGGAATAAACAATTTATTAGTTATAATTACATAATGTATATTGTAGAGTTAAACAATGTATAAAAAAAATCATATGAAAAATCATTCCATTCCTACAGAACAACCAAACATGATCATGGAATGTAATGACTTATTCCATTACCCTGTTTATTCCATTCCATACAACCAAACAAACCATGATTATCTATTGGTCAGAAGAATGCTTACATCATAAAGAAGATAGCAGACAAATGCAGTGAAGGCATACACTGCACCAAAGTGAATCCATAACCTTCAAAAGTTCCAAATACTGTGATCAGAGTTAACTAAATGTAACAGTTAACTGTTGAAGAATCAAAAAGGTAAAGTAGTAAAAATCACCTTTTGGATCCATCATTGACATTTGAAATACTGAATGATTCCAAGGACTTGTTTGTGAAGTCTGAAAAATCAATAAATATCTGACTTCCCATATAATTAATTGGCAGAAGAACACAAAGACCAACTACCCCAGCAAAACAGAACATTTTCAAACTGTAATGAAGAAAAAAGATTAGACAGCTTATACTTAAAAGATATAACAACCCTACTTTGTTTGTGAATAAAAAATAGTAACCTGAAGATAAAAATGCGCATAAAGACAACACCATCTAAACCTGCACGCATGAGGAGTTCTTCTTCAGGGGGATGCCATGCCCTCATCACCCAACTGGTAGAAGGAAGTAACCTTTCCAAGTTAAAATCACTTCTCTGATCATACTTTCCTTCAGCAACTATCCGTGGTGCATAAACTTCAGCATTCACTGGTTGCTTCCTCAATATGGAGTATAGAGTGATGTATATTAAACATAAACCAAAATTTATGCCAACAGAAGTCAAAAGAGCAGAAAGAATCATCCTTCAGAATGCTGAAAAAGTGAAAATTGCAGTTACTCCAGCTTTCTCTGGTTCTTAATAGTCCCTAAAAAGTCAACTTCCATGAAACATCAAAAATCAGTCTCTAAATATCAATCATAGTCCATTAAGAGGAATAATCAAGTAGTCAACTCAAACGAATACAATCACTGAAAGTATAAGAGCAATTAATAATCTAAAGTAAAGCTGAATCCTAAAGCAAGTATACTTTTTTATCTGTAAAGATGCATAATCCTAAACATAAAATCCAAAACTGAATAACAAATCAACTTAAACCCTAAACCATAAGTACCATAGATTAAATAAAATAATGATAACTGTATACCTAATCCAAAAAATATATACATATAGAACTGAGGCTAGTAAGAACTTGAGAAGAAAGTACATCAATTAGATCATAAAATGTTAACCCGAATACAACAACGACGATTAAACTACTAAATATCATCCAAGTTTATGAGACTATTACCAGAATCAACGATTATTCTACTGCAATAGATACGGATTACGGATAGAGGAATCAAAAAGGAATGTTGAGCTAGTAATGATAACTGTATATCTAAACGCGAAATAGAAACAATCAAACGTGTAACTACGGCTACTTGGAACTTCAAAACAAAATTTTAGCAATTAGATCACAAAATGCATATCCTAATACAGCAAGAACGATTGAAGAAGTGAAAGTTCATGAAATTATTACCTGAATTAATGATAAGTTTCCAGCGATAGATACGGGTAGAGAAATCGAAGAAGGAATCTTTAGCTGAACCGGAGTTTAAGCTTCTTCGACAGAATGTATTTTAACCGACTTTGAATGGGAATGGGAGTACGTGCCGCTGCCAGATTAAGAAATACTCCGTTTGTTCGCCGTTAACTGCCGTCAATTATCCTTTGCCACTTAAACTGATTTCGTTAGTAAAGATCGACATATAAGTTTGTAACCCGATATCCGCGCCTTTTATAATGCCAATTCAATTTAATTAACATTTTAGATATCTATTAAAATATCTAGATTTACGTACTTTTAAACTTTATTTTTAAGGTTTTTAATAATCGAGTGTGTATAAAAGAGTACCATTGAACATACTTTTCTAAGACTTTTATATAATATTTTTATAGCTTTTATGTATAATCATTTGGAGATAAACATATTTATCAATTCATCATTCATAATACAATAAAAAATAATAATTTAATAGGTAGAGATAAAAATTAGCCAAAAATGAATCAGAATGGGATCAGCCTTATAGAATTTGTAAAGCTGATTTATAATACCTTTTCCCTTTTATTCGTTTAATTTGTCCTATCAATATATAGAGACAAAAAAATTTGTATTTTCAAATTATAAATTTCATAAAAACTACTATATCTTGTTATTTATGCTTTTATTTAAACCAAATCACAGTTTCCTTTTCTTACAAAAGCTGTTGTGAGTTTTTTTTTTTTTTTTTTTTTTTTTTTTTTTTTTTTTTTTTTTTTACGGAAAGAATTGCAAGAAAACAAATGGAAAATATTTTTTTCAAGTTAAAGTTGGTTTTTTATCAAACTTTTAATGATAATATTATTAAAAAGAAAATTCAATAGATTTCAAGCTATATTTGATTTTTATAGAATTTATAGTTTTCCGGTTTAATCATTAAGAATTTGTTTTTTATCTAAAAAAAACGTTGTATGTACGCAACAGTAACGTTTAAACAGAAAGAAAATATTTAAATAGTGAAAGCTAAAAAGAAAAGAACGAAAACTAAGATACAAAGGCTTTTATGAAACTTGACTATTATTATATATTTAAACAATATACTTATATATAATTTTGTAATTATATTACCTCATTGAATAGACTTTAATGAGACAGTGTCCTTATGAAAACACAAGTGTGTGGTTGATAATCTTGTGTGACCAACTGCCACACCAGGTCGACTAAATTACATAATTGGTCCCTATAATATATCAAAAATTAATTATTGGGTTTTTTTGTGATTTTGTTAACCTTTTTCGTCTGTATGATTTGCTTTTGTTGCAAAAAATAATAATAATAATAATAATAATAATAATAATAATAATAATAGATGTAAGAATTTATTTAATATTTAATGATTATTTATAAATTATGTAGTTTTCCAAACATATTGATTGAGTACTCATGTAAAATGTGTTTGGAAAACTACATAATTTATAAATAATCATCCCTTTCTTCCGACAGCAACCCTCGTCAGCATCCCTTTCTTCCGACATCGACAGCAACCGCCCTTCGGACGATATTTTTCGGCTACAGCAGATGGATCGGCATTTCCCCAACATTTTTGCTGATGGATACGGCTCCCGGGTAATCCGTTTTCACATTCTTTAGATTAATGTTTCCCCTTTTTCGTATTGTTTAGATTTGGATGAAAATGGTATGAATATGCAATTCATAACCTGCAAATAGGCGCAAATGGAACTGAAATGGATTTGAAATGGTGAAGATTCATTCCGCGGAGGGGATAGGTCACTCCGCATAGGGGTCTCCGCGGAGTTACCTATACCCTCCGTGGAATGACCTAAAATTCCAATTTTCCCCTTTTTTCTGCCATTTTATATCAATTAATTTCAAAATGAACCTTTTATAGCAATTAATTTGAAAGTACGTTGCTGTTTAATTTTTATTGTAATATGATGTGAATGGTATAATATGGTATTTTTTTAATTTTATAATGTAAATTGAAAGTACGTTGCTATTTATTTCCTTAACTGAATTTACAATGTAATTTTAAAACCTTGTTTTTTATTTTCAGTTACTAACGTTTTATATTAAATTAAATGTATATGTTTTGTAGCACGATGATCTCTAACAAAAAGTTGATTTAACTTTAAAATGGATGGTCGGTACGATAATTAAAGACTATTTTCCGAGGCTAAGTCAATCACAACGAGCATTATTTGAAGCTTCACCATTTGGAAGATTCTTAGGAATGCATGTCCCTAACAGTGACCCCTTACTTGTGCATTTGATGATGTTGCATGAAGTACGATCTCAAGAAGTGTTTGAATTGGAGAGGTTTATGTTTGAGATACAGGGGGTGCAGTTGGATTTTGGTGAAACGGTGTATATTTTGATTAGTGGGTTAAGAGTTAGTCCTTATATGGAATTACTCCATGACGAAAGTGGTCGGTCAAATTCAAATCTTTGGGCTCGGTTGTTCCCAGACATAACAGATGCACGTTTGCGGCTCAAAGATTTAGAAGTGTACATTATGTCTCCGAATTATTTGGCACTTCAGGATGAAGATGCGGTAATGCTTATCCAACTTGTTTTTATGTTGAAAGGTCTCCACGGACAAGACGTTAAAACGTGCATTCCTGCGGCAATATACAAGCTTACTGATAATATATATGATTGGAACATGTATTACAATTAAAAGTTGTGTATAAATACAATAATAATTATAATAAACAAATTGAAAATTTCAGGTTTGCATGGCGTACATATTTTTGGACCTATACTTCGGGGTTGATGCATGGAATGTTTGAGAAAATAGAAAATTTTAAAATATTTAAGCAGGCCAATCCCGAATCGAAGAAAATACACAAGTATACCGTTGTCGGTTTTATGCTTCCGTTTGAGGTTAGTTTCTAATGTATTTAAATAGTTATCATACTTTCGTTTTTATACCATAATAGCATTGTACTTCCGTTTGTACTATATAATACCGTTGTACTTCATTTTTATACTATAATAGCATCATACTTCCCTTTTTCCCATAGATATGCATTTTGGAGACGTTCCCAGAGGCAACACAGTATTATGTTCACATGCCGACAGAACTGCCACGAATGAGGTCGTGGAGAAGAAAAAGATCATTATCTTGGGTTCAATGTTTTCGAATAATCAATGTGTCTGTGGTATGCTTTTTTTATATTATAATTATATATAGTTACAAATTCCAATGTTTTTTCATGTTAAACTAATAATCTGATTTTTTGCAGCCTAACAACCTATAACACTTGAATTTGAGAATGTTCCTTTTGAACCCCCTTTGTAATTGATTTTGCATTTTGGTCCTTGGAGTAGTATGTGGGGCGTACTATTGGGTACACTTAGCGTACTAGCTGAGAAGCTAATACGCGGGGCGTACCACATGGTACGCTTAGCGTGCTAAGGGGAGAGATGATCGCGGATGCGAGGCCTCGTACGCTGGGCGTACGAGGGGTTAATGAAAACCTTATTTTTGGGGTGTTGCACCCTATATAAGGCCCTTAAGCCCCTAGGGCTATCCTCTTTACCAGCCTACATTACCCTAAAACCCTAATCTCAAACCCTAATAGCCTCTTTGTGTGTTCTTGAGCCTTAGTCTTGATTTTGGTGGCTTATGCTCCTTGAAGTGAAAGAAGAAGAATTTGGTGGACTCATTCACTGGACGGAAGCTTTAGAGATCCAGATTTAGTTCCACCTTTTGGTGACCTTTGAGGTATAAAGTCCCAACCTTTATCATTGTATGTCAAGATTTAGTTCCACCTTTTGGTGACTTTTGAGGTATAGGGTGAGTACGTTGGCCGTATAAGCAGGTACGCTTAGCGTACAAGCCTCCAAGCGAGTACGCTGCGCGTACATGCTGAGTACGCCCCACGTACTCGGTCTGTTGGGCCTTTCATTTTAGGGCTTCGGTTTGGGCTATCTTTTGGGCTTGGGTTGCTTGGGGCTTTGTCGGGCCATCTGAGAACAAGTGTTTTGGATTAGGGAAGAGTTAATGGGCTTTAGGGTAAGGCCCATGTAAGGGTTTGGGCCCAATTTGGAAAATTGGGCCATAAGTGGGCTTTGGATGGTTATTGGTTTGTGGGCCTTTATGATTGGGAGTTTGGGCCTTAGTCTTGGACCAAACTAGGTGAGGGGTAAATGGTATTTTTACCCCATATTTGGATATTTGGATTTGGTTTGGAACCCAATTGTTAATTGGGTGTTATTTGTTTGATATCGCGGGGATTCTAGCAGATCAGCAGTCAGAGATTTATTCGTGGGTTCAGCTGTCGAGGTGAGTCTCCTCACTGTACTATGGGTCGAAGGCATCAATGCCGGCCCATTTTGGTTTATGTATTATAGAAAGACCAGGGGGTAACCCCTTGGCATTTGTATGAAAGACCAGGAGGTGGCTCTTGGCAACCTGCATGCTAGACCAGAGTCTGAACTCTGGCAGTTAATTAGATAAGTAATTGTAGATTTTATGCTAGTTGTCTTTTTGAGTTTGCATGGAAGGCCAGGAGGCGGCTCCTAACACTTGTCTATAAGACTATCCTCATTCACAACCCAATCCAACCTAATAATCTATTTTAAAAACAAATTTCTCTCTTTTCTATATTCATAATTCAACTAAACCTAATCTTCTACTCCCATTAGCAATCCAACCCAATCCAATTTATATTAAAAAAACATTTAAAAAAAAATATCAATATTGGTATCATTTTGTAGAGAAAAATCAATCATGTATTTTGGTATATTTTATTTAGATTTTTACTCAAAATAAAATAGAGTTATTAACAAAATTAAATTTATTTAGAAAAGTTTATTTGGCTCCACTAATAATTATTGGACACGTGGGTTTGTTTGGGATTAAAAATTGTCGAGCTTTGGTGAACTTGGGCTGTGTCTCCGGCCCAGGGTCACCAAAAATGTTTTAGTTTCTATTTTCTTTTAATTGAAAAATGACAAGCGGCTCGTCCAAATGGCCCCTATGGGGGCAGTCTAAGACCCACGGTTTTGGCCCCCGTCCTGGCAAGGAAAGACCATGATACGGCTCGTGGCATAATGGCAAGACTATGGTTGGCACATAGCACCTCCTATTGTATGCTTGATGTGTATGGCTTGTATGTTATGTATGGTATGTTATATTTGGGGAACTCACTAAGCTTTGTGCTTACAGTTTGTGATTCATGGTTTCAGGTACTTC